ATGTGCATAGGAGGTGATGGAAAAATACCATGATTTGGGTCAGGTGCGCCTTAGTCTTCAAAGTAGCATCCTTCTCGTCGATCCTTCTTAGGAACCTCCAGACCAGGTATCCCCAGTCAATGCCGATTCACAGTGACCCCACATGGATTGATCGGGCTGTGCGCCGCAGCATTATTAGACGGACTGTTCAGAAGAAAATCTCCCAGACCATCCTGTGAGGCCCCTCTGGGTGGTCTCACCACTCCAGACGTTTAGTTAGCAGCTGAGCACGTTAATTATTTTCACTCATTGGATTCGATTGTTAGACTGACAGGTCGGAGGATCAAATCCGCCCAGAGGTGCCTTAGTAGAAAGACCGGCCACTCTGCCCCTGATGAATCCCTCATTGAACAGCCAACACAGCTCAGCTCTCGGGCACCTCAGTCACCATGCAGCAAGGCAGGAGACAGAGTGGGGACACAGTCAGCTCAGTGGCCACTGGTGATTATTGATGTCTCTTCCTTCCCTGCTTCGTTGCCATGCCAGTAAACCACCTGGAAGCGTCTCTGCCTGAGTTAACCTTTGGAAACTGTTGCAGGCACAAAAAGAAAAGTGTACCGCTTTAAAATGGTGTAAATTCATTGACGTGTACTTCTTTCTCATGTCTAGATTTTAGAAATACTGATTTTCTGCGTGCTCCTGTATTTCCATAAAAGAAAGGGGATCGAGCACATTGTGATCCTTCTATCCCTGGTGGCGCTTCTAGGTAAGAACAAATTCCATTATCTTATTCTTGACTCAAGCTCTGCTGCCGTTAAAGAGGCTCGAAGGAAGATACTTGAGCCTTCTATTTCTTTCTTCAGTGTTTCCGTGCGTCAACGCTGATCTGGAGCCCAGACACTGAGCCTGAAATTAATGCAAATGATACTGTGCATGGCTGTGTCTGTAACTGGTATATGTTTGATCATTTTAAAGTATAGTAAGCAATGTTTGCAGCTTCATCATCTTTATTTGCATCCTGACAGTACAAGAGTTTTTAGTTCTGTTTTCTTTTAGTAAATAATTGAAAAATATCAGAGGAGGAACAGACTAATGAGCCAAACTGTAGCTTTTATATCAGGAATTTGCAAGGCATAATCTCTTTACATTTTTAAAACAATTTAAACTATGCTAATTGAAAGATCGCTATAAGCAGCATGCTTATATCTCATTTCTCTCACTCATTGATACCCCTTCCTTCACTTCCACCACCACCACCACCTCCTAGGTGCCTTGTAAAATTTCAAATAGTGATTCTCAGATATGACCACTAAATACAGAGATATTCATTTCTCTCTGTTTCACTTCTTTCTCTCTCTTTTCCTCTCTCCCTCTCTCTCACACGCACATACACACACCCCCCTATATGCTAATACAAAGAAATCTCTCTAATCATTGAGGAAGTTCTCTTTTTTAAAAGTTTAGCTCCCATTCTTCCGTTTCTCCTTCCCTGGCAGTAAGGACCCATCCTCTGCACATGGTCCCTAGTCCGTTTCAGGCTGAACTTGCAGCGCAGGAACTTTTTGCAGCGGAATCATTACTTAGACGGGCAAACATTTGTTGTACATGCTCAGGTAATGCTGATGCTTCAAGAGAATAGAAAAGGGGCTTTTGATTTCTAAACAATCAGGGAAAAATCTAAACAGTAGAGAGAGAAAACCTACATCAAATAGAAAGAATGACGGAGGAAGTATTGGAAAGATGAATTAAGATCATACGTATCAGTCATGATTATAAATGTAAATGAGGCAAGCGTGGTCAGGAAGTAAAGAAAGATTTTCACATTAGATTCAGCCATCTGCTAAAATAAATAAATAATAAGCTTTAAAAAAACAAACAAACTTGCTGCCATCCAGTCTATTGCACTCATAGGTGCCCCACCGGACAGGGTAGAACTCCTGCTTTGAAGACTAGAACTTTTTACGGGAGCAGAAAGCCTCATTTTTCTCCCGAGGAGCAAGTAGTGGTTTTGAACTGCTGGCCTTGCAGTTAGCACCCCGACGTGTAACCACTATGCTCCTTCTCATGCCCCCGAGTATATCTTTCCCCAGTGCCCACCTCTCCTCCCCTATATCTGCCCGGATTAACCAAACCCAGGCCGATCCACTGCCACTGAGTCCATGCCGACTCACAGCTCGGTACCAGCCAGGCGATGTGCACTCAGACAACCCGCTCAAGCAGAGGGAAACCGCCTCTGTGGGTTCTGAGACAGTCAGTCTGTATAGGCGCACAAAGCTTCATCTGGCTCCTGCTCTTAGCAGCCCTGCATAGGGTTCCCAAGATTTTGTACACCTTTAGGAACACATACAGCCTTATCTTTCTCTCTCAGAGTGGTTGGTGGTTTTGAACCACCAACTTTGAGTTAAGCAACCCTGATTAACAAGTATTTGTGCACACAAAGGGCTGTTAGCGCAGTGGGAAGCACCCGGCTCTTAGCCAAGAGGTCTGTAGTTTGAACCTGTAAGCAGGGCCTGTGGCATTCTGCTTCCAAAAAGCTTAACCTACTGCCATCAAATTGATTCTGACTCTCAGTAACTCCACGCTGTGAATAGTACCAGGACTCTCCCTAAAGATCACAGCCCTGGAAACCTCATGGGGGCGGTTCCACTGTGTCCCGTGGGATCGCTCTGAGTCAGAAGGGACTCAAAGCATGGGCTTTATTAATCCATTGGGCCCAGGGATGGAGAGAAAAGGAGAAACAGCGCCTCTCTGACTGGACAGTGTCCTGGCTGGTCATGAGATATTTTGGCCACTAACTTAGATTAAACATGGAAAAAGCAGAGGCCATGATATGACTATCTACGCCAGATTCAAGGCCCAAAACACCGCCATCAGTCTATTCCAGCTCATCACGACCCTCGAGAGTAGACAGCTTCATCTCCACCCCCCACCCCCACCCCACTCCACCCCTGAGCAGCTAGTAGGTTTGACCCTGGACCTTACAGTTAGAAACACCCACCCACCAGGGATCCCTGAAAATATTAAGTGAGGCAAGAAGTGGCAATGTACACTAATAAAGGCTGTCTCCCACAAGAACTTCACATTCTGTTACATAGTACATCACGCCTCATATGGAACAGAGAGCCTTCAGGAAATAGACAACTGAGTTAACAGAAATAAAGGGAAAGAAGAGTCTACTCTCAGCTCAATCTGTATAAAGATGGGGGACCCAAACACTTCTTTAAGCCGGTGGCTTCAATAGTAAACTCCAAATACAGAAAACAGCACCCATGCCTTCTTTCAAGTGCTTAGGTAGCATGTATGAATGCTGACTGTATAATTGGCCACAAAGAAATCCTTGATAAATAATAGAGGCCACATTCTCAAATCCCAGTGAGATAAAATCAGAAACAAGTAATGGAATAGACACCTGTAAAACCCCGCGATCTGTAAATTCTAATACTTTAAAGTACCCCGGAACAACCAGCTACAAGGTTTCATTGTCACCTGTGTATCTTAATGATTAGGAAAACATTTACAATGAAAGCCTGTCATCTGGGACGCGCTGAGAAGGAAGTGTATTCCTTTATCTAGCAGTCAAACACTCAGCTAAAGAAATTGAAACAAAGCACAGGAGAAGCCAAAAGATGGTACTAATACAGGGCAAGGCAAACCTTAATGAAGTAGGACAGCAATCGCTCAGAGAATCTATTTTTACAAGAGAGCTAATAAAAGATGGTAAAAAAGAATACAAGGAGGGAAATAAAGGCATGAAATCAGAGATGAGACAGGTATTACGTAAATTCGTGTAAACCCTTGAATAAATCAGGGTTTTAAAAAAAAGAAAATAACTACAAAGAGAATAAAGGAAATTGTTAAAAGCTGCAGCCTAAAAACAAGCCAGGTCTAGACAGCTTCTAGGATAATGTCTTTAAATCCTTAAGAAACTGATGATTCTGATACTGTTTAAACTGCTTGAGGACAAACGAGAGCAATCCTTGCTTGAACATCCTCTTCAGAGAACTGAGGCCGTCCCTGAGAAGGCCGGCACAGATGGACAGCACTGTACACGAATTGCCCCACTGAATTAGAATACTAAATAAAACATATCAAATAGACTCCCGAGTGCAGAACCATACATCATCGCCTCGTAGTCTGAATGGCACCCATTCTTTTTTCTTTGCAACATTTGCAATCTTTGGTGATTACCTGCTGTATTCTTTTAATACATTCACATCTTGCCATAAGCTTTTTTTTCCATGCCTGATTAGTCCTGAGAGGGCACTGACCAGGTCTGCTTGATTTCCATGATAGAGATTTTCCTGGAGCTGAGGATAGTGAGCACACAATATACATTTGAATTAATTAACAAGTTTGCTACTTAATTATGAGAACAAATGGATGGCTCTTTAAGAAAGAATCCGTTCCCGCCACCCATTATGTTAATGACTCAAAGGAGGAAAGGGAAATTGTGTGATGATCTGCATAGATGCTGAAAACGCATTTTTAACATCTCCACTCCTATTCAAAGACTGGAAACGAAATAGAAATACTAAGTCCGCTGTGTGTTAAAACAACCACCGCCACACACTGAAACTGGAGGCTTGAAGACTATCCCATGGTGAAAATGAGAAGCATTCTCAGAAGCGAGGGCAAGCGCCCTCTCCTCCCTGTCTGCTCTCATGAGCTGTTGGAGTCTCTTCCAGTGATGGTGCAGGGCTCTTACAAGAAACAAACTGATCCTGAAAGCTGTGGAGCAGCTTTGAAAGGGCTTTCTTGTGTTCTGATACATGGAAAAGAGCCACACGCAAAATCGAACTCACCTTCGCTGTGATGTAAAGCACTCGGGAGGCAAAACCGGAGATAGATGCAAGAAAGGTGGGCTGTTGTTGTTAGACTCGTACTCTTGTTGTTTAGAACCTTGTTGGTAGGATAAATTAGAAATAGAAGGAAGAAAGAAACAGAGATGACTGTATTTCCACACGCAAAAGAATACAGCTGAACTCATACCTTACGTAATATTTGATCAAAATAGATCGGCACCTAAGTGTAATAAGACCTAAAGCCAGAAAACCCAAGTGAGAGAAGACCGGTCATTAGAAGGCGCGCTTTCCTGTGGTGCCACCTCCTTTCTGAAGGCACAGGAGGTGGTGGGGTGGGGTGGGGGTGTCTTTCAGTTGGTGGGGAAGGTGGGAAGGCTCTAAAGTCCTTTCTGTCCTCAGCCCACTCCAATTGCCAAGGCAACATTAATAAACAAGATACTTGTGTCTCTCATACGGAGCTATCAAGGACCAGCTAAGAAGGATCTTGGCAGGCACTATGGATGAAAAACTGCGGGAAACAGAGACAGAGAGGGCTGCATTTCAACACTAAGGGTTACAGGGTGTCAGGGGGAAATAGCACCATGATAAGGCTGAATGGAATAGATATTTACTATTGAGATTTAGAAAGATGCACATGACTGGTAGTTTTCTGGAAGGCAGCTTTTACTTCAGAAGCTTAACGGTGGCCGCTGGGGCAGCAATTCCCCTAAAACTCAAACTCACTGCCATTGGGTTGATTCTAACTAGAGGAGCTCTGGTGGCATAGAAGGTTACTAGTTGGGCTGCTAACCACAAGGTCAGCAGTTCGACACCACCAGTGGCTTCTAGGGAGAAAAATAAAGCTTTCTATGCCCATAGAGAGCTACCATCTTGGAAACCCACAGGAACAGCTCTACCTCGTCCTATAAGGTCACCTTGGGTTCTTTAGGTGATACTGCTAAGGAAATTGGCAGAGTGACACGGACGTAACCAGAACTTTCCATACAAAGATCATCACAGCTTCCTCTTTACTAGTTTAAAAAACTGCATACAATCGAAGTAACCCAAAGCAGAGGCTTGTGAAAATAAACCATGAATTCATACAAATGCCAATAAAAGGCATGCTTAAGAAGAAGACATAGTAGCATCGGAAATCAATAAAGGCAGTAGTAAGTAGTACATATACACAGCATGACTCACGTGTTATGGTATAAAAAATTCTTAAAAAGAAAGATAACCAAAATATTAAGAGAGGCTTGATGTTAAGGGCTGAGATTATAAGTCATTTAAAACTATCCCCATGTTTTTCTGACTCTTCTAACTTTTCTTATGAAGCCACTTACATTTTCATCTTTTAAAGTGATTTAAGAGATGATGAATAATCCAACTACTTATCCATTGACCACTGATAGATAGCATCTCGATGTAGTTTCACCTACCCTATTTTTCTGGGTAGACCTATATAGTTATTATTTTTAAAATCTCCAACATTGGAATGATAACTCCATAGGCGATTTCACATTTCCATCCATTTTCATTAATCCCACTTCAACCCTCCCCCCCGCAAAAAAAAGTTTGTAGTACTCTACATCAACCTAGAAATAATTCAAAAAAATCAGTAATAGTACATCAGCTGGCAACTGTATATGCTTTGAAAAGCCAATGATTGGCTATAGCAATTGATAGCTTTTTCACTATCTAATCATGAATTTTTTTCATCCGTTTTTGTATTGTGGTTAAGTGTAACCTAACTTCAGATGGTGGTGGAATCAGATGGCCTTTAAGGTCCTTTGTGATTCTGAGGTTCTGACTCTAAAGGAATGACATGTCTGATTCCTGCTTCCTCCTCATTCTTGCTTTGGGAGAGCTGAGTGTACAGACTACCAGGCCATAGCACAGGGCTCCAATACCAGGCAGTGTTTGGGAGAAGAGGAAGGACCACAACTGACCTGACAAATGTAAACCATCCAGTGACACACAGATCCCCATAGATATTTGAAATTCCTACGTCAGCCAACATACAGCTATTGTCAGTAGGAAATGTGCGACCAGATCCAGTCGAAAGGCATTTTCAGATGGAGAGGGTGCTGGCTAAGAAAGAGCTCTTCGTTCCTTTGAGAGCTGAGGATTTGTCACCTGAGCTCTGTGAATGATGACTTTGATTGTAAAGAAAATGCCCAAGTTGGAAGTTTGCCCCAGCCTCTTTCCCAAAGCTAGGAGGGATAACGCCAAGATGTGTTACGATCAAGTCGGTTCACAGCAACAAAGGGAGGATGCCTGTTTCATATTTATTACCTTGGACTTAAGATTTGATTTCATCTTATTTTTAACTTTCTGTGGGTTTCAGCTACATGTTGGAATGATATGCACCAGTAACTTCAAGGGCCCTGTTAGAGAGCAGGCAGCCCCGTCTTCCTTCTACCAAAACCGAGTTGCTTGCGTTCACACCGACAGACCCGTATCTAGTCCCTTTTCCTGAAGTGTTGCTTGAACGTATGGGAAATACTTGCTCTTGGGGGAATAGGTTCCTCCTTCTTTCATATAGAAACCCCATCACTCATGTAAATTCTATGCTTCTGTGGTTGACTCGGAGAAATGCATATTCAGCTCTGGCCCTGTTCCCCATCAGTGTGTTTGTCCGAAAATATTTTAAATGATACTTGTAGGCACCTCTCACAAAAATAGGGGGCTCAGACATAGACTTAGCACAACTCTTCATAAACGGGGCTGGGAGATGGATTTTCACTTTCCACCCTTCTCATTTTTCCGTGGAGCTGAATAGCTACTTTCCCATGAATGACACCCGGGACGATCCGGCTTTTCCTCTCTCTTCCCTTCATTGTGGTCACCTCTCTCATCTCTTAGTAATTATAACCTCAAGCCGCATCTTCCCGGCAGCTAGCAGCGGAAAATCAGCATCTGGCTCCCGAGCTAAAAGAGCAGGTCTCTAGAGAACTGAGGGGCCCCGCACAGCTTGGCCAAAGGGCTCTGCCACTTGGTGAGTGCCATGCTGCCCAGCACAGGGCCCCCCTTGAAGCTCAAGAGGTGGATTGACTCCACCGTGTTTCCTTAAGGTGCTGATTTATAATTCCATCCCAAATATGTATTTTATTTGTGGTCCTGTTGTGTGTGTTCTGTTTATCTCTGGTCTTTTTCAGCGTCGTTGACGGTGATTTCAGTAAGGGCGGTCGCCAGCATGATCACATTCTCTGTGACGGATAACACGCAGCTCACTTATCCCATCTTCTATATCATGTGCATCGTCATGATAGCATCTTGTGTTTTCCAAGTCAAGTAAGTGAGCGCCGTGCAGTCTCACTGACCCTTCCGTCTCCCGGCACAGCTCCGAGCACTCATCTTCATTGGCTTCAGACGATCATGGCAGTGAGCTCCAACTGATTTCTTCAGGGTGAAGGGCCCTCCGCTTCCCCTGGGCCAGCGTGCCTGGCTCTGCCCTTCGCGTCCAATAATATGCTTTTACTGACCATCGCCTTCGTGTCTTGCGAGTTCTCGAGTGCCGCAATCCAGCTAAGTGCTCTTTGATACTTTCCTGATGCTCTTCTGCTTGTAATTAATATCCATCGTACACAGGTTGTCATTAGCAATAAATCAAAGGGGCAGGTCTGCATCCAGGGTTTCATTCTAAATATAGGCAACGCATGAACCCTTCACCTTCGTTGCTGAGCTCAAGCTCATTAACTGGCCAGAGATGGACAAAACCAGACGTTTGGCCGGGAGGGAAATCCTTTCTCCAGCACTTTGCATCCTGGGCCAGAATTTTCTTTGAACCCCTGGGACCGCAGAGTGATTGTTTTATGTTTCTCTTGGGGCCTAATAGTTGTGACATGGTACATTGTTGGCTTCTTGCTCTTCTCTCCCCGCCTACCCCCTGCATCTGCACTTCCCTTCCATTTCACGTTGTCACCATGCCTGGGCCTGCTGGGCTCTCCAGAGTCGAACTGAAAGCTTCCTGTTCACCCCGAAATGCTGTGCCAAACGCATCACCCCAGTGCCAGCAGGGGCGACAGAGATCCAGTCAAGTCTAGCTATTATGGGATGGACATAGGTCCTAGTGCAAGGTCTATGGCAAGTTACTGGGAAAACCCAATGTTTTGTCCCTGTTTTGCCGACCGTCCCCATAGAAAACGGAGTGTTACTAATTCTTGAATCCTAGTGTGCTGCTCTGGTTTCCTCTGAATTCATCAGCACTGCCGCAGGCTCTAGAGATGAGCATCATTAGCTTTATTCTACGCTCCAGCAGTTTACAAAGTGGATAGGACGGCAGGGAGAGTCCACTTCCGTTACCCTGCATCCTTCACTCACACTGTAGTGCTGCGGTTCTCAACCCTGACCTAAGGAGGCATATTTTTACACATATGTGTGTGTACATATATATGTACATTCATGACTATAAACATATATAGATATGTACACACTCATGTACCAGGGGCCTTCCAAAAGTTCACGGGGATGGAATTAATAGATGGTGGAATTTTCCCATGAGCTCTTTGAAGCCCCTTGTACATATATATACATACACAGGAGTACATGCGTGTACACGTGTGCATGCACACACACATCTATACATGGCTGGGACCACAATTTTTTTTTCCAATTGCCTAACTATTAGTGCTCTTTTAAAGCTCTCAGGTGATGTCAGGGCAATTTACTGTTTTAGCAAAAGAAAGGTCTAGTCCCCCCCAGGGACAGAGCAGTTGTGGGAAGCTGGACTCGTGTTGGTGGTCGAAGTAAGTGAGAAGCTGTGCTGGCCACATGTGCTCTGCAGCTGGAGCGCTGCCGAGCCTTGCTTTTGAAACGTTCAGCATTCCTTTGCTTCTCCATCTTCCTTCTTGGCACGTGGCATGTCAGTGGAGAGCTTCGCTGTTCCCCAGATGTGATGCTTAGCAGATCCTCGGGTCTATCCTAATGAATCAGCCTCGGTGCGATGCTGGTCCAGCAGCTTGAATCACTTCCAACTCAAACTTCTGTGGCCTCGGAAGATGATTAATTGCTTTTCATTGTTACTGTTGTTGCTTTAAACAGACCATAAAACCTGACATCTGATCTCATACATCAGATGCATGTAAGCTATGACTGCTGATTGGAAATGCCCTTTTCCTGCACTTCCTGCTCCTTTGTAGTTGGAGCTAAAGAACATGCATTTCTTGAAGTCCTTGTGAACTTCTTGCCGAGCGAGCGTCTCTACAGCCTGAGTGATTCAGTAAGTGCCTTCTGCTTTAGGTTCCTCAGTCAAGCCACGAAACTCCACGACACAGCCACGGTGGTGCCAGTGAACCACGTTTTCTTTACAACCAGTGCCATTATCGCAGGTAAGCTTTGGCTATCCTGATTCCAGCCCCACACAAACGCAAGTCAAGAACGCCACCAGGTTATAAGGAATGTTGCCCTATGTCACCACGCTTCCATCCAGCGCCTTGGTTTCCCACACAGCATCCCCTGGGAGAGGTTATTCTACTTTGAGGGTTACACCCTAGCGCTCACCGCTCCCCCTCCACCCCCCCACCACACACACACAGCTTGCTCCCATTTTGGATCACACTAATTATTTGAAGAGTCCTAGTTATTAGAAAGTGTTTTCATAAGAAAATATGAAATTGGAGCTAAAATTAGCTTCCCTGTAAATTCAAGACACTCATCTTGGTTCTGTTTTTTGGACTCTCCCCTTGCCAGCCCTGCTGATAATCAAAGCAGCGATAACGGGCCTCTTGAGGCTTGTCTCTGAACCACACCGCCCCGGTCCCATTATCTCTCGCTGCGTGTCCCTCAGCTGGAGTGGAGAATGGAGCCCCAAAATAACTCAGTGTTCCAGTGAAGGCCAGACAAGAGGACAGAAACCCTCACCTGCCCTGTTCGGCCTCGACTCCCTATTCTATGACACACAGGGCGGGTTGGAACCAAAAGTGTACATTGGGAACCTGCTCAGCACCACATTCGCTGTAAATGGATCCCTCCTCCACGTGGGGTGGGTGTCTCCCAGCTTGTGGGATCATTTGCTGTGTTCACTACCTTCTTGTCTTAAGAGTTCATTTCTCAATGCAAGATTTTTTTGGGGTGGGGGAGGGGTGCAATTAGGAATTATCTGTTTCCTAATTGGCACATTTTTTTAAATCGCATGGCAAGCGGTGTGACCGCCAGCGAGCAGGTTTTCAAAATAATTAGTACATTTTCTGTTTCCCACCGTTGAACTTGACATTATAGTGTAAGACATCCAGTTTCTCCTAGCATTGTGGGCTTGGGGCTGAAAGAAGAGAGGGAACGATGGGGAATGTATGCGCCCAGGAGCTACGAGGCAAGGAAAGGACCCAAGCCACCAAGTGTACGGATCACAGGTCGAGAACGTCGTTCCAGTGAGGGAGGCCTTTTCTCAGGAGACCTGCAGGCCGGGAGGCCAGGACTCAGCACACCAAGGAAGGAAGGAGCCAAGGGACTGAGGCATGCTAAGAGCTCACGGTTCACCTGACGCTCCCGGAGAAGGATGTAGGTGAAGCTCTCCTCCCTGCCTCCAGCCCGAAGCACGGTCTAAATTAAAATGATAGGGCAGTGACGCGACACTATGCACTTATCAAAACCCATCGGTCTGTGCGGTATGCACGTGGCTGACAGTGAAGAGGCCTTGTAGCACTTGCTGATGAAGACCCAAGACTGCAGCCTTCGGGATGGATTACAACTCAATGTAAAGAGGATCAAACCCTTCACGGCAGCATGATCAATGGAGAAAAGGTTGAAGTTGTCGAGGATTTCATCTAGCTTGGATCCACAGTCAATGTTCCGGAAACAACAAGCAAAAAAACAAAAAAAAAAACGCCCCTGGCTAAATCTGCTGCACGAGACCTTCTTAGGGTATTGAAAATCAAGGTTGTTGCTTTGAGGACGAAGGTGCACCTGACTCAAGTCGTGGTGTTTTCAATTGCCTCCTATGCAAGTGAAAGTTGGGAATTGAATAAAGAAGAAGAATCGATGCGTGTGAGTCGTGGGGCTGGAGAAGAACATTGAAAGTACCATGGACTGCTAAAAGGACAACCCGATCTGTCTTGAAAGAAGGGCAGCCAGAGTGCTCCTCGGAGGAAGGCTAGCAAGGCAAAGTCTTACATACTGTAGACTCAGCGCCAGGAGAGATCAGTCCCTGGAGAAGGATGTCATGCTTGGTGAAGTGGAGGGGCAGCAAGAAAAAAAAAGAGGATGGCCCTAAAGGAGGTGAATTGACCCTGTGGCAGCCACCATGGGCTCAAGCACAGACGATGCTCAGGACGGCACAGGACCCTGGAGTGTTTCCTTCTGCTGTGCAGAGGGTCACAACGGGTCAGACGGACTCAATGGCCCCTGACAACAACAACATAGGACCATGTAAATAAAAAGTGAGCCCTAAGGTGAACGATGGACTTGTCCCTCACAGTGATGGGCTATATGGATTAATCAGTTATAACAAATATTCCCCAGGAAGTTAAGAGGCGAATACTAGGAGAAACAGCATGCAGGAAAGGGGGGCGAGGGGGGTTGAGAGCGCTGAATTTCTTGCTTAATTGCTCTGTAGACCTAAAACTGCTCTGAAAAATGAAGTCAATTATTTCTTCAAATGAGATGCCGGTATTTCTGCCCGTTCATTTACTAAAGTTCTTTTGACTAGGCTGCCAGTGATAACAAGAGAGGCGTATCACAGACACTCTCGGGGGAAACAGGATACCACCCTCCTAAAACCGAGCTGCACCGTTTTGGCTACAAGCCCTAAATGTGTTTCTACTGTTTGCTAAGTCCGAGGGAGCAGGACCATAGTCCGGTGGGGCACCAAGGTCAACGAGCATAAGAACGTTAACTCACAAAGACCATGTTCTGCATCCTGCTTTGGTGAGTTCACAGCGAATGTCTTCAAGGCTCCTGAGCAGACATCCGTGTAGTCTTGGTCTCTCCCCGTGCAGAGGGGGAGAAAAATGATGAAAATCAAAAGACACAAGGAAACCATGAGCGCGGTGCAGCACTGCAACGTGCAAACCTCAGGCTCCACAACCCTGAGACCAGAAGCCCTCGATGGTGCCTGGCCAGCTACCAACTGCCCTGAAAAGGATCGCATTAGGAGCTCCTGGATAGTGGGAAGAAACTGGTGGGACAGAATTGAACATCAGGAAAGACATGAGGCTTACAGGTCAGACAGAGACTTGTGGGCCCCTAAGGCTACAGCCCTTAGGCTCCCTGTGGCTCTGGAACAACTCACCCGTGCTAGAATCATCAACCATTTGAGCCCAAAAGGGAAGCATTTCCCCAAGGACAAAGTTCCAAGGGTAAGAAAGAAGGAGAGATGGAAACAGGGAACATAGGGAGGAAGTAGGATAAACAATGATACATGGAAGGGATTGAAATAGATGAACTGAAACAAAATGTATATGCGTTGTTGAATGTAAAGCTACTGGTCTGCTCTGTATAACTTTGCCCAATTCACAAAGAAAAGGTTTTTTGTCTTGTTTTTTGAAGTTTCTCCTCTGAAACAAAAAGTCCACTTCTAGAAACCTATCATGACAACAGCAGCAACAACAAATCCTAAAATACCGGTGTGAGGGGGCAGGGTGTGGGAGTATGTCCAAAGAAGTTCAATGTCGCCTTACTATAGCACAATATAAAAAGAAGTTCAATGTAATTTTACTATAGCAAAATATAAAGACATAAAAGCAATTTAAAGTGCTCTTTAGAGAAATTAATATTGTGGTGCCTCAGCAAGTAGAATAACATGAAAACATTAAAATGATGATTGCAAGATGTGCATAATCACATGAAAAGATATTTCAGAAACATCGTCATGCACATCAGACATGCCTTCTAATAAGAACTTTATTCAGCCGCTAAGGAGCTCCTGGAGGGCAGGACTCTGCCCTGTCGTCGGTGGCATCTCCGGCACCTAGAAGAGCGGCTGGCACATAGAAGATTGGCACTGAATATTTGTGGGCTGTTTGGCAAGGTTAATACCACACACACAAAGTTAACTCCGGGGAATATGTAAGTTATCCACACTCACGGAGGCAGCAGTCAGGAAATCCAACGACGTGTTGGATTGGGAGAATCTGCTGCACGAGACCTCGTCAACAAGTGGGGAAGAGCAAGGAGGTCACTCTAGGACGAAGGACTATTTGACTCGAGACATGGAATTTTGAGTCATCTCACATGCCTGTGAAAGCTGGACGTTAAGCAAGGGAGAGCATGGAAGAATTGATGCATTTGAATTCTGTTGCTGGCAAAGAATATCGAAAGTATCACGGCCTTCCAGAACAACAGACACAGCTTCTTGGAAGAAGTACAGTCAGCATGCTCCTCAGGCTCAAGGAGGCCAAGGCTTTGGACATGCCGGGAGAGACTGGTCTCTGGGAAAGGACGTACTTGGTAAATGAAAAGGTCCACAAAGAAGAGGAAGACCCCAGGGAGATGGATCGACCCAGTGGCTGCAACAATGGGCTCAAACATAACAGTGATCGTGAGGAATGCGAAGGACCAGTGCTTCCTCCTTCTGTCCACAGGGTTGCTGTGAGTCAGAACCCCTGGTGTGGACGGCACTTACCCAAGCCCATAGGAGCCCTGGCTGTGTAGTAGGCTATGCGTTGGGCTGCTAATGGCAAGGTCGGCACTCAAAACCACTAGCTGCTCCAAGGGAGATAGGTGAGATTTTCTACTTCCGTGAAGAGGTACAGTCTCAGCAACGTCTCTATGAGTCGGAATCAACTCTTGATGGCAGTGAGCTTGTCAATGTTGTTGTTTAGCAGCAATATGTAAGATAAAACTATGTTTTTAAAGAAAATTGCTGTGAAAGCTTTAGGCCTCGAGGAACCCTTGAGACCAACGGGGAGAGGAGAAAATCCATCCTTTTTATCCTCAAAAAAGACAGGACGGAGATGGGAGCTGGTGCCAGCACTGGAAAATAGCCCTGCATTAGCCCTCCAGTTGGTTGAGTGAACCCAGGGCTTTGCTGCATAAAATGGGCATGTGGCCAAACAAATAGCACTGCCAAGTGTGGCAGTACAGGCAGATGCAGCCAAAGTCCCAGAGGCCACCCAAGCCCTCAGGTCAGACCTGCTGGCTCCTGGCCTGAAACCCTAAGTGGGAAATGGCCGTTGGAGCATGGTCTACTGACATGTCTCAGGGGGCAAATTCTGGGCCGCATAAGAAATTTCTGTTTGTAAATGTTATGTCAATTATATTAGCCCACTAGTACTTATTCTTCAGACTTATTCCTAGACCAATAGACAATATCAGGTTGAAGGGAGAAAAGATTGAGGTTGTCAAGGATTTCATTTGACTTGAATCCACAAGTCGTTGCTCAGAGAAGCAGCAGTCAAGAAATCAAACGACATGTTGCATTGGGCAAATCTGCTGCCCGAGACCCTTGAAGTGTAAAGAGCTAGAGTGTTCCCTTGAAGACGAAGGTGCTCCTGATCCAAGTTACGGTGTTTTCGATCGCCTCCTGTTCTCGGATATCTGCAAGCTGAACAATGAAGGTCGAAGACCAGCGAAGAGTGGGTTCATTTGAATGATGGTGTTGGGCAAAGAATATGAAAAGTACCACGGGCTACCAGGAGAACAAGCCAATGTGTTCTGGGGGAAGTCAAGCCAGAACGCTCCTCAGAAGCCAAGACGGCGAGACTTGGTCTCACGTCTTTTGGACCTGTTGTCAGGAGAGACCAGTCTTTAAGAAAGAACGGCATGCTCGGTAAAGTGGGGGGGTCAGCGAAGAAGAGGAAGACCCTTGGTGAGACCGATTGACGCCGTGGCTGCACCAATGGGCTCCAGCACATCGGTCGTGCTGAAGGCACGCAGGACCAGAGCATCCTCCGGGACGCCGGGCTGCTAGGAGCTGGAGCTAGCCCAACCGCACCGAGCGGCAGCAACACAGGCACTTGCGGGAGGTCCATAAACCTATTTTCTTTTCAGAACAATTTGAAAATGTAAGTATAGCATAGGAGAGGGCTTTCAAAAGGGTGTGGAAATTGAGTTTAAAAACAATCGAATTTTTCCACTACCTCTTTGAAGCCCCCTCCTACAGTTTTTAATGAAGCCACTGGCTGTGCATTTTCATGGTAATTAAATTTAGAAAATATATTAACATAAAATTTAAAACATGTACGTATTATTGTTATCCTTACGCGAGAAGTAATTGCGTCTTCTCTTCCTATTACAGGTATCATATTTTACCAGGAATTCCTGGGTGCAGCTTTTCTCACTATATTTATATATCTTTTCGGGTGAGTCAATGCCTAAGGGGTCAGACTGATGAAATTCTATTACTTTTATATAGGATTTTTGGCCTTGTACCTAAAGTAGAGAAAATTGGGAAATTACATAAGAAACATCAGTTTCCTGAACTCAAAGAAACATATTTTTCAACTTAACACCCCACACCAGTGTTAGGGCTCAGTGCCTTCAACGATGTCATTCAGGGCCTCTTTGAGAGTTCTGAAATAGTGCAGATGATTGGTTCCAGCCAAGGTTAAGATAAATCGACTGACAGTTGTAGTCATTCCATGGCCTGTTTATACCATTTCATGTCTACCCTACTCTTGTAAGCACCCTGGATTAGATAGCAAGCCAATCAAAGGACCATGAATGTCTCTAGGAACCCCCAGAACAAAAGGCCAAGACTGGGGTAGCTCCCATGCTTTGGATCTAATAACATCAAGTTGACAGCACCCCTCTCCCGTGTCAGGGTGCCCAGCTAAAAGCCTCCCTGGGGATTTGGTGAACATCTCTGCTGGTCTGACTTGCACACAGAGAGTAGAACTTTGACAGAAGATCATCAGTGTATAGATGCTTCCGTTGGTTCCAACAGGCACTCCATTAATACTTAGCTCCTCTTGAACTGATATTCAGCATGGTCATTGTTATGCAAACTGGAGCCCAGACTATTTTCATTATATGAAACCATCTATCTGAAAATTCAATTTCATAAAATATTTGGGTGAGGCCAAGCTTCTTGGGTCTGGAAACTATGACGACTCTTATGGCCAAGGACAACTAAATTTCTTAGAAAATTAAAGAATAAATTATTTTTTCACTTGTGTTGCATGCCAGTAACGAGTCTGGGCATGCATGGATAGAAAATGAGACCTTAGTGTCTGCCCAAAGGGCTTAGAGCCTGGAGTAGCCTCCAGATGGTAAAAACCTGGGGCAGAGATTTCTTGGAAGCTGCCCAAGCCTTGGTTCTGGGTGCAAGTATGATTGGCTCTAGTAATTAAAACAAATTCTAGGCAGCTTACCATGAGAAACAGGATGGACAGACCCAACGGAATGTATGTCATCATGTAGATTGTGGAGCTCAGTGATTTCAGACCATGAGCCTTGTCAGTGTTCTCGTGCTCATTGTTCATTCTGTCCTTACAGGTGTTTTCTGTCGTTCCTTGGAGTGTGGTTGGTCACAAGAAATCGAGAAAAGGAACATCCACAACAGTCTTACATTGACATTGGAAATATTCCCGGTAAAATTGCATACCCTTTCATTTGTAATAGAAAATTTGACCCTTACAAATGAATAACTGCTGGTGCGATTCGGGGGTACTAAATCAATAGACAGCATCCTTTTTAATCCTCAAAAAATTTTCATCTAAGGATGAAACCACAGGTGCTGTTGTAAGTGCAAGTGTTCGTAGTCATTTATTGACTGTTGGCTTTGTTGATTCGGTTGACTTTGAGAGTTTTCTCTTGGATTTCTCTAAATTGGGAAAGGTAGGAAGAGAGAGTAGGATGACTCCCAGCAGCATCTGCCTCCAGCCTCCAGGAAGGAGAGCTTTGAAGGAGCATCTGTGGAGAAAAGACTATCATTCCTGGCAAGACCGAGGTGGCTTGTGGACTGAGGTGCCAAGCATGATGGAAATAACTCACTGCAGCCATGAGACAAGAAGCAAAGTCCAAGACAGAGGAAACACTCTGCTGTGCCCTCACCCCTTGCTCCCGGTCCTCCTCCAACGATCTCTAGCTTTGCTGGAGACTCAAACGGACCCATGGGTGTCCAAATGGGAGTGGAGATGTTCTCTTCCACCCTTCTCTACGGAGTGTGGCCTGGAAGCCAGGAACAGGAACCCCTACTCCTACTGCTGAGAAAATAATACCTCTATGAAACGAGCTCTGTGTTCTCATTTGCGCCATCTTATCAATCACGCAGTCGATGTGCAAACTAGCATTTCCAACCATGGTTTGCCTTGCTGAGGGCTTGTTCAAGATAGTTCGGGAGCCTTTGGTAAAAAAATAAAGTTTACTTAGTTTCCTTAGAAACTTTCAAAGCCGCTATCGTAGACTGTATTTCTGTGTTGGGTGTATCTGTTCAACTCGACGTAGAAAAGAAGAAAGAATACCTGAGGAGCTAAGCCTGGGGAAGGATGAAGGTCCCTGGTCTGACTGGCCCCACGGGGAACTATGGGATAGAGAAAACTAGTCTCTCCTACGGACAGCACATGATTCCTTATCCAGGCATGTCATGTTCATGGGCCTTTTCTGCTGTAGCATTTATCTCTCCGGTTTAAAGGGTGACCACGTCGTATGAAACAGGGAGACATAAAACGTAGCCTAGATGGAAGGGGAATGATTAGGACTTAATCTTCCATAAGAGCTCAAAAGATTTTTTTTTATTGATGACTTTCTCCATAGGGAAACAATCGTTGGACAAAATACAACCCGATCCAAATGGCTTCTCCTATGGGACTTTGCCTGATGGAAGCGACTCAACACGGAGCCAAAGTGGAGAGAAGAAAGAGGTCTAAAATGCCGAGAGGGACGGCTGTTGGCTTGCTACTTGATACCACCTTTCTAAAGCATTGCACATGTTCAATTTGTGTCAGCAGCTATTTTACGCTGACATGTGCTAGCAGGAGTCTCAGTCCTTTACCCCACCTCCATGTCTACAGACAAGCAGGGCCTTCCCAGCTCTGACAGCCTAATGTTTCCATGGGATGTAATTTGAGGTCTTCTCCACACCCTGGCCCTCTCCCTAGTGAGCATCCAAACGGTTAGATCTTAATTACAGCCTGGCTGCTGGGACAGGAGTGTCACACAAATATGTGCACTCGTGACTTGGCCATCGCACGCCTAGGTTGACTCTCCCGTGTGTCTCTTTTCTTGAGATACACCCCGAGTTCTACATCCTCAGTCCTGAATGAAGGGTTCTAGGACAACGTTCATGAGGTTCCCCTGGGACAGCGAGAGCTCACCTTTCTGCTCCTCACTCAGAATGGTGAGTCAGCTCCATCTTCCGAAATCCCGCCCTCCTTTCGTCTTCATCCTCCCTGGAAAATTAAGGGTTGCCTTAAAATGATAATTCGTAAGGAACCTTCTGTGATGTTGTAGACCACAACTGAAAGAAAGCCCTGGGCTGGTGGAGCTTCTAAGCTGAAAAGAGGGAAAGTTTCAAGATTTAGAACCTTTTTTCCCCTCCCAGAATAAAACTATAGAATGATAACATCTGCTTTCGCTTTTTCTAGCTATCCCAAACAAACAAAAACCAACCAAAAAAATCACTGCCATCACATCCATTCCAACTCATGCGATCCCAGGAGACAGCAGAGCACCGCTCCTTGGGGTTTCTGAAACTGTATAACTGGATGGGAGCAGACCTCTGTCTCCTGTGGGGCAGCTGGTGGATTTGAACTGCCAACCTTTTGGTTAGCAACTGAGTGCTCTCATGATTTTATCAAGTGGACCTAGGGGTTTTAACTTTTAACACAAGTCTCAGGTGTTACATATAAATTCTTAGCGATAGTCTCTCTGCATACCGTTTTTCCTCCGAGTCATTATCCCAAGCTTTATAAACTCTTTTACATGAACAGACAGTTGCGATTAGAGAACTAGGTTGCAGCATTTAAATCTGTGATCGCAAAACCCAGCCAGGGTGGCAAACCTGGGCCCAGAAAGGAAGCTCAAATACCACCGTGTGTGAGTGGTATGTCTGCTACAGTTAGATCACGTGTCTGCTAAGATACATCAGCAAACAGAATCCATGACCAGATTGGTGATTTATCACCTGCCTAATATTTACATGATGGTGGCACAAACAGCCAAGGGCTTGACTACTTGCCAAAAGATTGGCAGTTCGAACCCACCTGGAGGTGCCTCAGAAGAAAAGCCTGGAAATCCGTTCCCAAAAGATCCACACGACAACTCACAACAATATTTGAGTAGCACAGAGAGGTGCTCATTGTCACACCCAACAGCACAGAATGAACCCCGTCCTTCATGATAGTTCAAAACCTTCAGCTCGCTCTGACACATCCGTCAATTACAATCGTTCCGACCAATTATCTTCCTTGCTTTGGGTGGACTATCTAGCTCAGAGCTATTGGGACTATAGTCAGAACTGCTCTGGATCTTTGGGCCCTGCCCTTGACTGTGGGTGCACTCCTGATCAGACTGCTCAGCTCACAGAGTTCGCACCCTGGCCACAAAGTAGAGATTTTAATCCATCACCCAGGTAAGAGTAATAACCCAGAGTACCACTTCTCATCTGCCCTAGGACCAGAAGAACTATTTGGTGCCCTGCTGTCACGAGCGACCATTCTGATCAGGGTCACCGTAGACGGATCATAACAGAAAGATGTGGAGCAGAATAGAAATTCTTTAAATGTCCAGACTTAATGAGATTGGTTGAGACTAGAGACACAGATCCTCCATACACTGGGAATGGAAACTGCCCCCTGGAGTCACCTTTCAGCTCAATAACAGATTGGTCCCTAAATCAAGAATGTTGCCAGTGAGTACTGGGCACCTTTGAGAAAACAAAAATCATCTGAGACTAGCTGGACAACAATTCCCCCTAGAGCAAAAATAAAAGGGTGAGGGGTCAGGAAAACATTCCTGAAAGAAGAGGAAAATAAAATAGCAGAAGGGAATTAATGAGAATGTTAACACATCATGAAAAATATGGAACCACAAGCTTCCGCTGAGCACACAGTACGATATGACTTAATAAAATCACATCGCCAAGGCCCAGGCCTGGCTTCTGCCCTCCAAGTCACTGCGCATCCCTGGCACTGCTGAGTGCCTCCCTGATCCAGAGGCACAGTCACCTGCTCGATGGCACTGCACATTTCCTGGATTGGGACGTCATACTGGCATTTAGGAAGGTTCCGGTGAGAAATATGTCTGGTGTCTTAAACGACAGGTTTCTGGTGACTCTTTAAACTCATTTCAAACGTGGAAAGAACAAGATAGCAGGGGTTTGCGTTTATAGCGATGGCACGTGGCTTTGAGCTCTGTGCGTTTTACACAGACATCCGCATGAGGTCAGCTCCTTGGTGGTTGGCAGCATTTAGATCTATTAAGGATTTTGAGAAATGGCATGAACTTAGTGCAGCAACCCAGCAATGGTTTAGACACCCAGACAACACATGAAACACACATGGCCCTTGTCGGAGCTTGGACCAAGTAAGGTGAGCGGGAGTTTGAGTTGTCGTGACTTGTAGCATTTGGGGTTTTTTTGTTTTACTTGCACCGTGCGTGGAAACAATCAAAGCCAAAGCAGGCTTCTTGGCATTGGGAGCTGGGGACCTGGAGCCAACACTTGGCTCATCTGATTCTTTGTCTAGACCAGGGGTCTGCAAGCTTGTTCTATCAAGACCCAGAGAAGAAACATGGTCAGTTGTGTGGGCCATACAGCGTCCGTCGTAATGACTCACCCCTGCCTGCCATTGTAACTCAAAAGCAGCCGTGGACAATAGGTCACCGGATAAGCACTCTGTATTTACAAAAGCGGGTGGCCAGCCATCGCCTGCAGTGTGCCAACCCCTGGTCTAGACTCTTCAG